ACAGTGTGAATGGTACAAACAAGTCTCCTGTCATTGGGCCCCTCCGAGAACAACATCATTACAGAACTGCCTCTGAGGACTGGTTTACGTCAAACTGAGCTGCCTGCACTTTCTCCAGATCTGAATATCATTAATAAAAAAATAAAAAACAAGGGGACCGTTGAGCCTAAATGACTAGAGGGCTGTCTCTGTGACATAACATCCCTTTGTGAACAGCAAGATGCATTGTTTCAAGCATTAGAAGTCAGATGTTTTCTTGTAGATGTCGTTTTTATTATGATTAATCATAAATGTTGAATAGGATAAATATGAAAAGTAAAAAAGTGCACACCTCTCAAATGTCTATAGGAGGCCGTGGTTTCATGACAGATCCCTCCTTGTTCCATGGTTCAATACTTGTGCGTCACAGTCAGCTTTTCATCTTGTATGAAATGAAAGCCTGACTTGTCTGGGGACACCATAGAGAGTATATCATGGTGTGTGTATACGACGTGATCAGAATGACACGTTAGCTCTCCTAAAAGTGGAGACTTTAGCAGAATAGCTGGTGTGTGTCAGAGAGCTGCCCTGGGACAGAGCGTGCTGGAGCAGAGGGTCAGATGTGATGTGACCCTGAGCTTGGACCTCATCATGGCTCCTGAAGCGTGAATGCTGTTGTCACACACACACACACACACACATACACGTTTTGGTACCTGGTGGGTCCCTTTGACAGGGCCGTTCAGAATGGGACCCATAGACATAATCTTTTTTTACCAAGACTTTAAGTAATACAAAACAGTCAATAGAAACCAAACAACTATTTTAAAGGAATTTTATTTTAGATTTTGTTTTCGAATTGCAGTGATTCTATTTTTGACATAGAATTTAATGCCACTCCATGTCCGATGTCTAAGGTCATCTGGTGAGGCATTAATGCAGGCCAGGCAGTGAGACTTCCCAGGGACCTTTCCAGTCTGTATGAAAGGTGTCATGGTCTTCTCCACAGCCTTCACCTCAGATGCAGACCATGGCTTTCTTACACGTTCTAGGGAGAGAAATAAAAATATATTAGCAATATACACTCCCAGGGTGAGGACCAAGCAGCCTGGCTGTAATCCCCCACCTGGTACACTTACCAGAAGGGGCACTGCCACTACCATGGGGTGCATCTGGATGAATGGTTGAAGGTTCTCCGCTTGAAGTTTCTTTTAGCCCGTCCGTTTGTGAGAGGATCTCTACTGCTCTCCCTGTCGCACAGAAAATAAAAATACAAGTGGCCTTTAGGGGAAAAAAAAATCATACATATTTTAATAATATCAAGAATTACCTTCAGGCTCAATTTGTATCTGGTCGAGGCTCTTTCCTTCGCATTCCGTCACTCTTCCCTGCTCCATGGCCATCAACACTTTGCTGATTTTGGCCAGCTCCAGTGTCCCCTCTGGTAGTCTGTAATATTGCCTGTGGATGCGAATGTCATGGCCGAGGAAGTTGGCAAGTATGTCCATCTCATTCTCTTTCATATTGAGAACTGTAGACATAGTAGCTATGTGCTTTCTAAGTTTGGTTGAGGATAGCATCTCTGGATGCACCGCACCACATTCTTTGGCTACCTGGCGTAGGGAGTCTGATCCCCTGATGTGGGTGTCTGCGCCCGGGCGGGAAAAGAAGTATGGGTTATGGTCAGAGATGGAACAGGCCCTTCTGTTCTCCACCAGCACCTCCATCGAAGCAATCATTTCAGGAGTCAAAAGAACCGGCACTTTCCGACTTCTTTTCCCTTTAATTTCAATGCGTTGAAAATGCTGACACAGCTTTTTCTCAAGTTGGGACAGTCCCAGAGCAATGTCAGAATGGATCCCAGTCTTACTTCTTAAGGTAAAGGCTGTCAGTGGCATCTTTGAAACCTCACCTTCCCTTCTTCGATTGAAAATAATGACCTCACAAAGAGTCAAAACTGCCAGTTTAGACCAATGCTTAGACGTTGGCTCACTTATTAGGGTTTGCACATATTCAGGTCGACATACCTCAATATGTGCATGCATGGCTCTAACGTCCTCAGTCAGAGGGAGCAGGTCCGGAGTGTTCCACTTGGCTTGCCGGAGGGTCTGTAGGGCAGCAGAAGAAACACAGACGTCCCACCTCTTCTCAAAAAGCAGCCGGCTTCGTTGGAGGTTTTTAATAAATAGTTCATCAACACAATGCTCCATTTTTGAGTCACATTCAAGAATATCTGCTAGCTTTCTGAGGCTATGGCCGAGTTTGAGGGCCAAGGATGGAGTCTTGTATTGATTTGTTTCCTCATCATATCCAGCCACAGACCTGACTGCATCAATCACATGGTTAAAGTTGGAAGGAATAAAGAAATCCTTAATTGTTTTCAGTTTCCCTGCGGTTTTTGCTTCGTTAATTAACCTACCGACTTCTCTCATTTTATGCCTAATGTAATCATGCTTAGTCTTATCATGCCCGTGTTTTAAGTACAGGTGCTCTCTGAGTCTCAGAATCCCCTTTTCTGCTTTGACAACACCCGTGACCTCATCCTGATGCATTGCCGAAATTAAAGACCACAGCTTTTTGCTGATGCCCTCCGGTACAGGCTGGGCTAGGGAGCAGAGGGACTGGACCCTACTTCTACCTGGTTTAGCCTGGGCATCTTTCTGTGAAAGCCGGCACCTGGCCACATGCCTCCACAGCGACTTTCGCTTAAGCAATGCCCCACAGTCTATACAGTGCAAAAACTCACTGGATTTAACTGGGGAATTTGGCTGTTTAGCTGGGACTAAAGTTCCAATGCCGGCCTTTAAAACCTCAAAATTGTGCTCACGGTTTCCACTATTCCTGATCAAATCAAACTGAAGTTTACGTGCTTTAGATTTCACAGGTAGAGCCAATGCTCTGGCTACGTCACTTTCATTTCCATGTTTTCTAGTCAAATGACGGGACATTTTGTGGCAGGACATTGAACAGTAGAGGCAGAAGTGTCTCTTGCTGTAAACTCGCCCCCCATTTTTCTTCTTTTGCAGCTGCATGATAACAATCTTATTTGCCTTTGGTTCGTCACTTTCCGAGTCTTGAAGAAAAGTGTTTTTGATTTTTCTTTTTCCATACTTTTTTACAGGTTTCTTCTTGACAGTTAAATCGTCAGAATCTGAGTCGACTTCATCAATTAGGGACTCTTGACTAAGCTGCACAAACGAAGTCATGACTTGTAGTCAGCACTTACCAGTGGTTTGTAAGCGTGCGCTTCAGTGTGCTCCTCCATGATTTCTTGCAGCCTAATGAACCACACACTTGCACCTTTTTCTAGCCTGACACCTGATTTCCTCTGTTGTGCTGCTCCATGATTGGCTCCAGCCTGCTGGACTGAAATTGCCCCAGTGTGCCCCTCCTTGATATCCCGCAACCCACCACCAGGGTTCCGACACATAACACACTTTTTTCAGGAAAGTAAACCTCCAGGGGTCCTTTCCATATTTTTACAGAGACTGCATAAGGACCGTTAGAAAAGCATTACCCATTGATTATTAAGCTTGGACCAGTGGGGTCCGGTGTTCGGGCCCCACCACGTAAAACCAGTCCCCATGACGTGAGTGGAATCTCAGGTTATGGAACCCACCAGGAGTTGAAAACAAGTGCACACCCCTTCGCACACACACACACACACACACACACACACACACACACACACAATTGCTGAGGCATGAGTTGAGTATAATGCGTCGATTTTTCTCTAAAACGTAAAGAAATCCCTTTTTTTCCAGGATAATAGTTTGTGTGTTCAAGAATATTTATGCTCAGCAGAGATTAAATTGTGTTAGTCATGTCATTTTTTTTTCTGTTGAAATCCATCTTCAGATTATTGCAGTGTCCAGTCCTTCTGTAGTTCAAGGACACCTCCAGCTCAGTACTTCCTTTGAGCTGCCGTGTTATCCATTTCTACAATGCATTGATTTAAAGCAGGCCTAAATGTTCACGGTTGAGTTCAATCTTATTTATTTGTTTTGATTCATTTGTGAAAAAAAATTAATAATCTGTTGAGAATCGTCAAAACATGTCAAAAGTAGACTCTATATAAACTTTATTTGTATGGTTTTAAATGTTGCTCTTTTCACTTGGTGTAATGGGAGCTACTATGACCCTCCTAAGTAGTATCAACGTCTCATCTTTTAGGTCTATACTTGAAAATGAGAATAATGCATTTGAATAATGTCATTTTGGGCTGTAATTAATCATAATAATTAACCATACAGCATGCACCTAAAACAAAACTGTTTTGCAAATCTGCTTTTCTTCAATGTTTCACCACGAGAAGGTCCCGGGTTCAATCCCACCTCCCGGACTTTCGACGTTCTCCCCGTGTGTCTGTGTAGGTTTTCTCTGGGTGCTACGGTTTCCCCTACTACTATAAACATGTACAATAGGTATGAATGTAATGAGTGGCTGAATGATGATGACAGCGTGTGTGGAGTAAAAGGAAATGACTGGAACACCAAAAGTTGTGAAGCGCTTTGTGAGGTCTTGGTCTGTGAAATGTGCTATTTACTCACTGTATATACATATGTTCTCACCATCTATACAATCTTTAATGCTTTCATTTGTAATTATGCACCATTCATTACAGATAGAAAGAAAATGTATTCATCTCGAAAAACGATTTGTACATTGGTTCAGAGTTTTCTTTTTTTCCATTGTTAATCTTTCAATAAGATAAGATAAGATATACTTTATTGATCTCACACTGGAGAAATGAACATGTCACATTTGGCATGGATAGAATCACTCAGATTGAGCAACAGACAGAAGTGTGCAAACATGTTAAAGGTTAAAAATATAGTCTGTGCAGAGAATTGCCTCTTAATTTGTCCAGTTTTTAGTTTGATTCCAGAGTTAAATCCTGCAGTCCCTCTCCACACAGTAGCAATAGGGAAAAAGACATAACCATTGTTTTCATTTTGATTCCATGGTTAACTCTGAGTCTCTCTGGTCTCCTTCCTGACCGTGTCCGTCTGTGTTCCCAGGACTGTGCCTCTGAGTGCGACCCGGAGCTGCTGTCACTGCTCCTGGACGCGGGGCTGCTGGTGGGCTGCGTCTCCTCTCCCCTCTACCCTCTGCTCAGCTCACACATGTTGTCCCACCAGAGCGAGGGCGGCTGGGACGTGGAAGCCGCCTCCTCCGCCCTGCTGTCTGCGGGCCACGCTGCAGAGGCGGGCTCCCTGCTGCTGGCCCACAGGGGAACGCATCAGTCACACTTCACCTTCAACACGGCGCTGGCAGTGCTCAAGAAGTGGCTCTGACAGGCTGGCAGCAGATGTGTGCCGCGCTCGCCGGGATCTGAAGGGACTACAGTGTGGCTTCGCTCTAACAACTATGTGGTGCAGGGCCATTTAAGATGCGCCGTCATCGTAGGCCTGCAGGAGGTCCACTGTTAGCTCGTCTCCATGAGGATGTCACTGGCTTTTCTGTGATCTTCCACAGGATTGAGTTATTTCAGTTACAACAATACAATTAAATCCATTTATCTTTTTGCTTCCCAAAATGGCAGTTGTAATGAGGGGTGTAACAGAATTGTTGATTTGCCAACAGCAGATTAGAAAATCAAACAATTAGAAAACATAGTTTAGTTTAGTTTATTGAACAGGGACAATTTACAATATTATTGAATACATTATTTGCACCAGATTTAGCTACAACACATTACATACAAACATACTACAAACTTACCTCAGAATGTATATATATATAGACTATAGTCAATATAATACATTAAATACACAGTATGTAGAAATGATCCAAAGCATAGCTGGTTAAACAAGGTCCATAAATGTCCCTGGGGCTTTTAATCTTCCTGCATCAAAGGAATTAAAAATTTAATTGTCTTAACTGTCGCTTCTTTACTCATGTGTTCTTCTCAGAGGAATATCTTGAGTCTTCCTGTCTTTATGGAAATGTGCGTGTTGGATGTTTCTCTTCCTTGTAGTTCACAGATCATGACATTCCTTGAAGACGAGCAGGTGGTGGACCCTGCACCTTAAATAATAACAATAATTTGTGATGAGCAACATACAAAGGTTGTTTGAGTTTGTCTTGGACATTACTATGCATAAAGTATTAAGGAAAATGAATGAATATGATTCTAATGCAAGGCTCCTAATGCATTTTGAAGTACTTGTAACCTGTAGACCTCACATAAGGCATTACTCTTGGCTCCCAGGAATTTTTGTTTTTGATGTGCTTCACTTATCTGTTGCCACATTTGTGTGTGAATCTGTTTATTATGATATGTAATTTCAATTTGGACCAATTCTGATGAACAGACGATGTAACACTATCTAAACACTATCTCTACTTCTTTTGTACAGGTTCATTCCAAATAACATCAACTACAGTATGTACGTTAATATTTGTGATGTCAATTCTGTCGTTTGAACTGCCTCAAACCCAGTCGTGGGATCTGCTGAACCTCTCCTCCCAGCACATACAGTACATGATTCCCTGTAATGTGTTATTTCCCTCGTTCATTTGCGTTATAGATGGTGAACCAAATAATAACATGCAATAAAAACCTGGATAAAAATTAGTCCACTTTTGTGTTCAGCGTGAATGGCAATGATACAGCCGTCAGCCTGTGCTCTGTAATTGGGTTTGGTTGGTGAACATGTCAACAACAGCTGTCTGCCTCCCAGCTAAAGCAGAGCCGGATACGTCGAATAGACTCACATCTGTTGTACTGCAGTCCTCCCCTTCAGTGCGGCGTATGTACTGCTTGTCTTGTAATAATTGCGGTAGCCTGGAAGCAGTAGGTGCACATTTGCCTGTTGTAGCGTGACAGGTTTGATTTGCGCGCACTCTGGACTCTTTTCTATTGTTTTCAGCCCCAACAGCGTGTATTTAATTCCCTGTAAACGAACGGGGCCCTCTGACTCTGTGACAGGCATGAGCTAAGACTGCAGCCACACTATCACTTCACTCTGGGATAATGGTGACGGCAAAACAAATATTGGCACAAACGGAGATGCTTAAAGTTTGATGTAAGAAATACGGCTTGAGAAAATATCGAATCAATCTAATTTTGTTGTGATAAGTGAGAGCTTTGTTTGTCATTGTGTTTGGTTGAGATTTACATGCATACTCTGTAATGCAGGGGTCTCCAACCTGTGGTTCAGGAGCTACCAGCAGCTCGTCAGCCCCTTTCAGGTAGTTCACCAAAGGATACCGAATTTAACAAATGATCTTGAAGGAATACATTTTGAGGAATTACGTATCTACTTTAATAAAAATATATAGGGTTTTACAGGATTATGGTATATTTTGCATGTGTTCTCCATTTTTTTACCGTAATTATCTGATTGATTTTTATTACAACTGCAAAAAGGAGTAGCTCTCTGCCTCATCGTTTGTATAAAAGTAGCTCTCCGATTGAATATAGTTGGAGACCCCTGCTGTAATAGATAAGTGCTACGGCCATACGATTTTATTTGATTCGAAAATGAAAACGTAGTACAGCTGCAGCACCAAAAAACCTGTCCTTGTTTTGGTCGCTACATGATTATTAAAATATTTATTCAATCTTTATTTAACCAGGAAAGTAAGAAATTGCTCGAATTTGGCAAAACATTTTGACTGATTTAAAACAAGACTTGCCAATGGAGCAGGCAAAATGATCTTGTTTTAAAAATATACAACACATGTTTCCCTTGGAAAGAGAAAATTATAATTGATCCATTGGCAAATCTTGTTTAAGCACAGTAAGAATGTAATAAAATTAAGATAAAAACCACTCGATTGGAGCAATTATTGCCTCACACTTTATCATGTTTTTGCAGTGATGGGACAAGAGGCTGCAAAGTTACACACAGTTACATAAACAGACAATTTTATATAATTACAGATTTGAAAAACACAGTTACATAGATAGATGGATAGATACTTTATTGATCCCTGCAGGAGAAATTCAGGTGTCCAGTAGCAGCAGAAACACATGCATCCACACAAACAAAACAAATAAATAGATCATTCTAAAAGCAGCTAACAATAGTATTAAAATGCAACAGCACTTTTGGTCACAGCAGGAGAGGTGGAGTAGCCGCTTGATTCGGAGCATTTTCTCTGCTCTGGTCCGGAGTAAAATGCGGAATGTTTTGTTTGCTTTTTTTTTTTTTTTTATGAATTCTTCCAGTGGATTTCTGCTTGATCTGCTTGGTTCGATCCATGAATCCTCTCTGCTCCAGGTCTGGATCAGTGTTAAACTGTGAACACTGTACTGCAGTAACATTTACAGGTGAAAAAAAGCAAGAATAATACAGTAACAATTGAAAAGCACAAAACTGTTTCAGAGCTACTTGGGACTTGCTGCCGTTTCCAGTGCATACAAATGTAAACAAAGCATGTCAGGGAGGATGTCTAAAGTACTCTCTGTCTTGATTTGAAAAACATTGTGATAGAAGAGATAGTAAAAACTACACTATGCATTTAAAGAAACTTGCTACTGGGCAACCAAATCTCTAAATAAACATGTGCCTTTTATTAGATTAGATTAGATTAGATTCAACTTTTTCTGCAGTGCAATAGCGTAAGTATAGGCTAATATTTCCAACAAAAATAAATGTGAGACTGTACAAGCTGCTATTGCTAGTATATACATTCATTATATTACATTAAAGTGCATCTAAAGGGCTTTAATAGGTTGAAAGTTCAGTGATATAATTATAATTACAACTCCAGCACTACAGAAAAGTTATTCTCAAAACACTGGTTTGGGGGCTAAAGACTTCATATTCTCTGCCCATGTTTACACGCTCTGAGAGTGACAGGTGGGCTTCCCGCTTACAGCTGGGTTTCTTCATGAATAATACAAAGAAAAAGCAAAACGATGTGAGCGAATCAGACCGCAACATTCTGTCTGATTCTCAAACATTTCATCGTTTGCATATTTATCATACATATTTATACCAAAGAGCCTGATGAGTCACTGTGATATTAAGGGCTTGAACGTTGATTGAGATAAAAGTTCTCCTGATTTTTTCCCTTTTTTCTGTCTGAAAGGGCTGATCAAAAGTTGTGGCAGAGACCAAAACACTAGAGAAAAGTTATCGTAATTGTCGGACTATAGGCTTCTACTGTATTCCATATCTTTGAATTTTGAAGCGTGTGAAGCGATGCTGCCGATGTACATTATTATTATTATTATTATTATCATTATTATTATTATTATTGTGGTAGAGTTGGACTAAATGGGGCAAATATTATCGACTTTGACTCCATCCAGTGTTAGGAGCTGTGCACATTTATTGTCAAAATAGATTGTTAAAAGAGTCATAGAAGCTAACAGTTGAATGTATATGGCAAGTCGAGGCGGTTACGCTCTCATAAAATACTATAACATTTACAAAAGAAAGAAAAGGACCAGCAACGACAGGACTGGGGTGCCCTAAAAAAATTAAATAAAATGCATTAAGGAGCACAGGTTTGTTAAATCTTAATGAGGCAAAGGCAGACATAAGTTACTTGCATTTATTGCGTTATGTGGCACAGTTCAATATTCAAGATTCAAGAATTTATTTGCCATTTACAGTAAAACCACATTGGAAAAACTATGCAAGGCTTCCCCAGTGTGCACTATAGTATTCTTGAAATCTTGTTTGAAGATGTGTTTTTTACATTTCATTCATGCATATATTCACAAGGGCACATTTACTTTTACTTTTACTCTGTTATCCGTCTCTCAGCTGTAACTGTAATTCCAATTTAGTAATAACTGACCTCATACCACATTTGGTGACTGCGCATTTTTGTAAAAGCATTTCTGTCATTTTGTTTTTTGCATCATTTTGACATGGATGAATAGAGATAGACCCCAAGATGAAAAACTTATGTATGTTTCAGTAGCTATGATCCGTTTTACAAAGTCTGCTGTGCACAATAAACTTCACCGGAAACAGAAATGAAAATCTGTGTTTGCCGAGTGACGTGAGAGAACGCATTTTCTTAAAGCCACCAGGCGAGTGAGGAGCAGAGAGAGCAGTTTGTAGGCTCAGAGAAGAGAACATACACAGAAAACATAAATGGGGGAAACCATGAGAAAAGGAAGAGACTCAGAAAGAGAAGAACATAAGAAATGTAAGTTAGTCATGTTTATCTAAAGGAGCAGTATGTAAACATCTGGCCAAAAGTGGTACTGCAACCTCTCCCGCTCTCGCTGACTTGGGTTGCCAGATATGCAGACGAATCCAAACATTTTTTGTCAACAACAAATCTATAACCAACATTCCTTGTTTTGTAGTTAATGATTTTAGAA